TTCATTTCACCTCAGCTTGCAAAGCTATCATCTTTATAACCAATTCAAATTCTAACAGCAAAGCTTCTATTTAAATAAGAGTAAACAGCACAGGTAAAGGCATTTTCGACTGTCTTCTATAATAGAGTAACCTTCATTTAAATCCTTGTGCTGACATTTCAGTAATTCCAGTGGGAAGATAGAATATCTCATTGATTGATTTAAGCATGAAAAGTAGCCACCCAGAGTAAACCAGTCACTGTGACAGTGTCAAGACAAAGGGAAACATTAAATCCTACCTCAGAAGTGTAACGTATGTGGCCTATCACCTATTCACTGCAGCAGAACCAGTTGCTATGGGTTGATGTGGCTTGGCTTACCCCCCTGTATTGGTGCAGCCTTTTTCAGTTGTCCACAATCAAATTGGCAACGTCACAGTTAGCAATTTCCCAACCTTCATTTAAAAAAAATTACAAGTCTGCATATTGGAAAGCAGGTTGTCCCTATTACTTTGAACAGATTACGTTAAGTATTTATCTGACATCACTAGATCCATGGTAACCACACAAATTTGGAAGGCTGGAGAAAACAGCAGGAAAATGAGTGCTCATGCTGCAGCCATGCATGCACCTGCACCCCTGCTGTGCATGACCACTGCCTCTGCCCACAGTGAGCTCTGTGCTCTCCCTGCCATGCGGTGCCACTCACTCAGCTCCCACCCACCCTACTGTGCAGCAACTGGGAGGTACATCATTTGAGTCACCTTCTCTCCAGGTATCTGACTGCAGGAACAAGGAAAGGTTTCTAAAATGAATCACAATTAATTTTTGCTTTTATGTTTCAGCCTCATTGCTTCAAGTAATCATTATTATACCCTTAACTGGAAACTCTTTTTAATTAACTAGCTCATCTGACCTCCTCCAACCATTTACTGACTGAAGACTCAGCTTGAGGTACTCTTTTTCTCTTGCTTATGTTTTACTGTCAGCCAACTAGTATTAATGCAGTAAGGAATTTTAAAAACAATACAAACAAAAAACACAACAGCAACAACTCAAACCCATTTAAACCCAAACTTGTACAGCATTTGCTTTAAAGAAGTTTGCCAATTCATAGATACGTTTCAGCCTGGAAAACAAGAAAGGACCACATGAGTTTCGTTGCCTTACGCTGAGTAGGTGGTATTCTCCTCCTCAAAGAGGAGCCTTACTTCTACCCAGCACCGAGTTTGCATTGTGACATCTTCAGCATTCCAACACTGAATTTAAAGCAAAATCCACTAACTTTTTTTTTTTAAAAAAAAGCCTATGTATTCATTTTTTATTCTTTGCTCACAATAACTTTAAAATTGAAGAATTCAATCTTTTATTCATCCATTCCTGTTGTTCTAATACATAGCTTCAAGTGAATTTGCCTTCCTGTCTCCAAACCACCCTGATATTTCTTTTCAGTGTTCGCAAAAACGTTTGTTGGAAGTTCCCCATCCTGAGTCTTGCCAATGCCAAGCTTGGGTAACACTCTGTCCAATCTCCTTTTTTAATTACCTTGAAATCTTAAGATGTTACTAATTCATTTATTTCTTATTCCTACCAACTTCTATCTTTTGATGCTCATATAAATTCTGAAGTAGCAGTACAAGCCATATGCATACCGACACATAACCTAGAGTGTGGTTGTATTTTGCCATGTGTCTGACTGCACACGTTCTGGAGATGGATGACAGAGAGCTTTGTAAGGTAGAGTCTTCTGATGACTGCTCTGGAAACAAATCTGTTGGACCAAAACTTGTTTGCCTTGTTACTGTCAGAAGTAAACCACAAAGGACGTAAATGATTAAATTCTCTCTGATTTATAGATAGTAGAAATAAATTACATAAAACACCATTCCTTAGCTTCACTTTTTTTTAGGTGGCTATATTCAAGTACAAGTTTCTAATGTTCCTCCTACAGAAGAAGTTACTAATGGAAAAAATCCATCAATGACTCCAGTTATGCATGCTCAACTATGCAGATACTCTAAAATCTCTAGTGAGGAAGCACGTACCATAGAACATAAGCAAACTAAAATATAAATGATAAAAATAGTGTTCCATTGATCAGCAAAATCATCTCTTGAGTAGCTTTGGTGTTGTATTTTTCTTTGTTCAGATACTGGGGATAAATGGTTGATCCTGCACTGCTTCTCTCTTGAACCTGGGGAAAAGGAGAAGCAGCCTGTTTCTGTTTTTATTATTTATGGTTTAAAATATTCTCAGCTACAAGTCAAGGCAACGTGATTATTAATCTGAAAGGCAGTTTAAATGCATACAAATAAGCTCTACTGTATAAAGTTCTGCTCTTCCATTCTATACAGATTCCATTCTATAGCAAGTGCTGTTTTTATTGTCTCTAAGTTCTGTCTCTGTCCTATTTCCTATTTTTCTCAACTGTTTTCAAAACATTTTTATCTTCTTAAACCAACAACAAAGGTAGAACAGTAATACATATCTTCAGTCAGTCTCATCCAAACAATCCTCCCCAGATAAGAAAACTCTAAAAAATAAAGGTGGGAAACAGTAAAACTGGTCAAGACAACTAAGCCAGTGATGAATTAAGAGAATCATTCCCCCTCCACTTATTTAAGTGAGTAATACTGGCAGATTAATACAATTTAAAGTCCACCCACACCAGACAGATTGCATTCTTACCAGTTTAGTTTGCAGTGCATGTGATGAGTATTTCTAGTGGTCAGTTTAGTATGTCAGTACTTGTGCACAAGAAAAGTACTGCCAAAATAAATATAACCTGCCCAATGAACATAACCATGCGCTAAAATGCGCAGCCACAGTCCTACTGGAAGATGTACGATTACTTGTTTGTGCAAGATGCTGTTTAAATACCTGCTGTCACAACTGTCACCAACAGGTGGGGAAAATATGACATTCAGTAAGCCAGAAATGCAGCTCTCTTCACCTATTTCTCATTTACAGGTTACTTAGATCCCAGAAGTGCCTATTCTCATTTCAGTTAGAAGAAAACCAGGAATTATGCTGCTGACATTTTGCCTTTTTCTAAAGTGGCATTCACCCTTATAACATTCATCCATGTTATATTAAAGGTGACTGTACTTTTTGGATAACCACAGTGTCCAGGCATCATACTATCATTAGACATGAGGAAGGATATTATTGTATTTCATCCTATTTTTATGGAAATTTATCCATACTCAGAAAAAAAGCACATTTGATGTGTAAATATTTAGATACATAGCTATTTAGAACAGATACAGATGGAGGCCTGGCAACAAAATTACAAATTACAATGCTCAACCTTACACAGTCCTGGTTACCTGCAAACATCTAGAAGATTACAGTTTAAGAGTCTTCCATCCATTCCCAGTTGTGTAGGCAGAACTCAGGTAACACACTGTGCAGTTATCTGAGACCCATAACATTACTGCATATGGGAAGAAGGCATAGGAATGCTAATTACTCAGCAATGAGAATGCAAGGACTCCCCCAAAGCAAGTTCACCAAAAGTATGGCTCATCTCCAGCAGATTTTAAGACATTTAAGGAGGCAAATTGCTTAGGCCTCTCTGATTATTATAACAGGTGTGCAAATGCTATTAGTAAAAATGCTCAACAGACAAGCCGTCGTACATTTATCAAGTGGGCATCACAAGATATAAGGATATGATATTTAGATGATATTTAACCACCACAAGACTAAGGCCGCTCCAGCATCAACAGATGGAGTTTAACCCCGTGCTGCACAAACGGCTGACGTATGGTGTTGCCCACCAAACATCACACGCTGCGGCCAGCGGGACCAAACAGCGGCCCACAGACCTGGTGTGCTCAAGGTCAAAGCGGGACAGCCCCGCGCTCGGGCACGGACAGTGGGACGTCCGTCCGGGCGAGATGGCTGCCCCCCGGGCACGGCGTCTACCTGCCCCCCAGGCAGGGCACGGCCGGGCGCCGGTGCTCTGCAGCGCGGGGCCCGCTCAGCGCCGCCGGGCAGCCCGCGGGGCGCGGCGGGAAGGGCCGGCCGCCACAGGTGAGCCGTCGCACGGCGCCCAGCGGACTGGCCGCGTTCCCCCGCACCTGCAGCCCGCCCTTGGGCGGATGCGCCGCCGGCCCGGCCCTCCTCGGCGAGCCGGTGGGGAAGGCGGCGGCAAGCGGGCCCGTCAGGGGGAGAGGAGGGCGGGCTCGGCTCCCGCCGCCCGCCGAAGGAGGAAAGGGAAGGGAGAAGAGAACGCCAGGGAGCCGCCTTACCTCAGCGACCCCGCCGGAAGAGCCGCGCCGCCGCCGGCCGCCCCGCGCCACCCTGACAGCTCCCGGCGTGCCCCGCGCGCCGACGCACCGCGCCGCCTGGCGGAGCGCCGCGTCAGCAGCGGGTTGGGGGGGCTCCTCACCGTGAGCCCGAGGCGACTGTCCTCACGGTTGTAAGTCTGCTAGCTCGTGGCTTATGTTAACAGCCAGCAGCTGAAGGAGCCCGGCTTTACTCTCACGGTGTGGGGTAATGCAGAGGAGATGGCAATCGCTTCCTCGTGGAACTATTTCATAACTCTACTGCATAAATTCAGATTCAGCTCAATACTCAGTACTGCATAAATTCAGTCAGCCCCCAGTTCCTTGGGACGTACGCAGGCACTGAGTACAGCCACACACCCTGTATTTCCAAGTGAAGCAATGTGTCGGCCCTTACTTTTTGTTACAGGACAATACAAATGCACCTGAGATTTAATTCCTACCCAGAGGTCAGCAGTGCATATAGGGCCACTTAGTATAAGAAAGCAACTTCTTAAGCAGAGAGTGATAGGACAAGGGGAAATGGTTTTAAACTGAGAGAGGGTAGATTAAGTTAGATGCCAGGAGGATGTTCTTTACTCAGAGGGCAGTGAGGTGCTGGCACAGCTGCCCAGAGAACTATAAGTGCCCCATTTCTGGAGGCACTCGAAGCCAGGTTGGATGGACCCTGGGCAGCTGAGCTGGTGGGGGGCAGCCCTGCGCACGGCTGGTGTCTTCAGGCAACAGGAGAATGCTGTATTCTCTACCTGCAGATCTGCAATTGGAGAACAGGCTCTGTGCTGTGGTAGCAGATGACAGAATGAAAGGTACCTCTGAAGAACCACTGGAGCTCTCCAAGCCCTGAGCACATGGCAGCACCACTATGAGGAAGTGGCGGATGATGGCAGCTGGTGACTGTTGTGGAGGATGAAGGACACCATCTGCCACCTGGACTTTTGGCCTACTGCCCCCAACCGCTTCTACACAGAGGCACCAATGACGCTGCCTTCTCTGTGGAGCAGCATCATAGATGTGGGGAACTTTTCATAGAATCACAGAATGGCCAGGGTTGGAAGGGACCTCAAGGATCATGAATCTCCAACCCCCCTGCCACAAGCAGGGCTACCAACCTCCACATTTAACAGCAGACCAGTCTGCCCAGGGCCCCATCCAATCTGGCCTTGAACATCTCCAAGGACGGGGCATCCACAACCTCTCTGGGCAGCCTGTTCCAGCACCTCACCACTCTCTCTCTAAAGAACTTCCCCCTGACATCCAACCTAATTCTTTCCTTCCTCAACTTAAAACCATTTCCCTTGTCCTGCTGTTATCTACCTTTCCAAAGAGTTGACTCCCCTCCTGTTTGTAGGCTCCCTTTAGGTACTGAAAGGCTGCAATGAGGTCACCCCGCACCTTTCTTTTCTGCAGGCTGAACAAGCCCAGCTCCCTCAGCCTGAACTCTTGTATGAGATGGACAACAGGCTGTGCGACAGTTTGTGATTCAGGATCAGAAGAGACTGGTAAGAGTGGAAGCTTGGTGGCCACCTAGTGAAGGTAAAAAATCATAGAATCATTAAGGTTGGAAAAGACCACTGAGATCATCTAGTCCAATCACTGACCCATATCCACAAACCATATCCATCAGTGCCACATCCACACAGTTTTTAAGCATCTCCAGAGACAGTGACTGCACTATGTACCTGGGCAGCCTGTGCCACTGCCTTACCACTCTTTCTGATAAGTTATCCTAATATCCAACCAGAACTCGTCCTGGTGCAATGTGAGGCCATTCCTTCTTACCCTATCGCTGTTACCTGGTAGAGGAGGCTGACTCCCACCTCACCGCAACTCTCTTTCAGGGAATTATAGAGAGCAATGAAGTCTTCCCTGGGTCTCCTTTTCTCCAAACAGAACTATCTCAGTTCCCTCATGCGCTCCCTGCAAGCCTGTGCTCCAGACCGTTCACCAGCTTCTGGAAACACCCTAACACTTCAATGTCTTTGTTGTGAGGGGCCCAAACCTGAACACAACACGCGAGGTAGCAAGGGGTTGATGCAGGGAGTTCTCTGTCATCCCAGCGCCTGGTTACAGCTGCTGGCCTCGGGGCTGACCAGCCCTGCGCACCAGCCGAGGCAGAACAGAGCAGCGCTGCAGAGAGACGGCCGCGAGGCCGGACAGCGCCGGCACCTAGCTGCAGGCGGCGCTGCGGCAGGAGGCCGCGGTTGCAGCTCTGGACAGGCGGAAGAAGCAGCCGCTTCCTTCCTGCGCGGGCTGTTGGAGGCGCTGCGCCGGCATGGTGTGCGCGTTCCTGCTGGAGATCCGGCGGGGGACGCAGAGCGCCTTGCTCGTTATCCGGTAGCACGGGAACCCTTCCACCCTCCTTCTTTCCCTCCCTCCTTTTGGGTCTGAGCGGGACCTGCGCGTTGCGCGGCGCTGGGTAGCAATTCCTTATGCGGGATAATAATAATAAAAAAAACAATAATACGAAACCTGTTTTGCCTTTCCAGCGAGGCGAGCTTGCGGAACCTGCCGGCCGACATCTCGGTGGCTCCGGGCCGGCTGGAAGTGAGGAGCAGCTCCGCCTGCGGGGTGGCTGCGTTGCCGCCAGGGGTCAGCCTGGCTCCGTCCTCCTGCCGCGGGCTGCGGCGCCTGCACGGAGATGGCCTGCACCTGCACCTGCGGCTGCGCGATGTGCCCCGCGCCGCGGGTAAGGCTGCGCGCCGGCGGGCACTACTGATAGTCACGGCTTCTGGGTGCATCGGCAGCGATCTGCTCTAAAAAGCAAAACTGCGTGAGGTGACGCAGAGAGGGAAGTTTGCTGAGTAATTTCTGCGTGGGAGTTTAAGAGCTGTGTTCGACTCCCTCCCCATGCCTTCCCTCTCCTATTTCACGTTTAGTTGCTAAAAATGCAGTAATATGACTCATTCTGGCTATAATGCAAAAATTGCCAATGGCCATTTATATAAGTGTGTTTTATATAAGTTTTATGTTTTATATAAGTTTGTGAAACTTGTCTCTTATGTATCTAGAATGTTCTTAAGTGCCTTTTCTTTGTGATTGCTGCCTAATTCTAAAATACCAACTACCTTTGCTGAGAATATACCTTGATGTCAGAAAGCCTGTTTATGCATAGAGTTAGGCTTACACTTTTTCTTCTGCCTGACATTGATTATTGTTCTCTGGATGCTTCTGTAAGTGTTTGTTTGTTTGTTTGTTTGTTTTTTAAATTTAGAAACTTGTATTTTAAGCTATCTGATCTGTCTCCTGAGACTGTGTTCTCTTTACTGACCTGTAGAGGGTATTGCCGACTGTCTGTTCTTTGAGTGATACCACCACGACTGTATCTTACCTGGCTGAGGATCTGAGGATTGAAGACTGCTGCCCTTTTTTTTTTTTTTTTTTTTTTTTAAGCACCCAGATATTTTTTATTGTGTATTGGGAAGTACCTCATATGGCAGAGACACTCACTAATAGGCCAGGCTGGATGCGGCTCTGGGCAGCCTGGTCTGGTTGGTGACCCTGCACATAGCAGGAGGTTGAAAACTAGATGATCGTGGTCCTTTTCAACCCAGGCCATTCTATGTTTCGTTCTATGTTTCGTTCTATGTTTCGTTCTATGTTTCGTTCTATGTTTCGTTCTGATCATTGCACGGGAGAAGCATTGAATATTAGTTTGTACAATCTGTGTAATGATACTCAGCTCCTCCAACTGAGAGAGTACACACAATTAAATTACTCACAAACTAAATTCCTGTCATGCAGTATGGGGCATGAGTTGGAGGTGGCAAGTTTATCCCATCTCATTACTTGTTTCTACAGGTAAATAAATTAAGGTTGTGTGTAGAATGTCACTGTTTTGCTTTGTTTTTCAGATTCTTATCTTGCTTAAGAGTGAAGTTATTGAAAAGACTTTTTGTTTATGAGTGAAAACTTTGCCCAGCCTTGAAGATTACTGTCTTCTCTTGTTTGTAGAATTGGTTTATAATCTGAGGGAAAGCCTGAAACCACAGAAGAGTTACATCTTTTACTGCCAGTCCTGTGGTGACATCATAGTAAAAGAAAGGTAAGGACCGCAGTGTCTTGCACTTATGTCAGTAACTGCCGTACTAATTGGTGTTTGTATTATTTTCTCTACTTAGATAGTTAAAAGATGTTAATTTTGAACTTGTTAGTTAAGAATACCTTGAAACACTTCTACAGATGACTAAAATCAAAATTGTCTGAAACAACTTTTATGTATTTATTCATTTATTCATTTTGGCTTAGAAGGTAGAAATAGCTAACTGACAGCATTATGGTGCATTGTCCTGCAAGGTGGGAAATCTGAATTCTCTTCTTGGTTGTCTCCGGTGCCTCAAACAAGACATTTGTTTTTGTGGCTGGACTTTGCTGTGCATAAAAACAAAATGCTGAAATATTTTGAATTGCGAATAAAAAGTTCAACACATTTTTAATTTTCATTGATTCGAAAATACTCAGAGTCTTTGTTTAACTGACAGCTCTGCTGTATCTAAGGGATACATCTGTACATAACAGATACATAAGTATCTGTTCATTGCAGAGAAGTTGGCCTAGATGTCCTTTAACAGTCCCTTCCAACTCAGAAAGATTCTATGAAGACTGTAACCTAGACTTCTTTCTTCCTGTGTACTTTGAGGGATCCTTTTCAGTTCTGTCCACTCTGTTAGGAAATTTCTTCAGTCACAGTGCTGTTATAGAGTAGCTGGCCAGGATGGAGGTGTTGTCAGCAGCTCTCTTCTTCTGTCTTTTAAGCAAAGCTGGCTTCCACATTACTTTGGAAATGCTGAATTTGGGAAGTTCAGGAGCAGTTTCTTAGCTATACGACTTGACCTTCTCTACTCCTTACAAAGTGAAACACAGAATGAATGAATGAATCATAGAATGTCTTGGGTTGGAAAGGATCTCAAAGATCATCTAGTTCAAACTCCCCTCCCATAGGCAGGGCTGCTAGCCACTAAATCAGGTGCTAGATTGGGCTGCTCAGTTTTGCATCCAGTCTGTCATCAAACATCTCCGGAGATGAGTGTAGAGGAAATGCTAAGTCATGGCTTGAAATGGGTGGGAAGGCAGGGCCAACCCAGAGGAGCTCAGGTGCATGCAATGTATCTGAGTAACTGGAAAGGGTGGAGCCAGGATCAACACCCTCCCCTCCCCCCCAACCTCATTTAAGAGTTGAAAGTGCAGGTTTTCCTTTGTGTCTGTGGCTGTTGCATTTAGGCTTATTCTCACTTGCTCTAGCATAGCACTTTGCTGTTTGCCACTGTCGTTGCTGTGCCTTCCATTGCGTTGTAGCATTGCAGTGAGGCATTCACAACCTCTTTTGGCAGCCTGTGCTGGTGCCTCACCAGCCTCTCAGTGAAAAACTTCTCTTGAACATCTAATCTACATCTCTCCTCTTATAGTTGAAAACTGTCTCTTCTTGTCTGGTTACTATCTATCCATGTAAAAAGTTGGTTTCCCTTCTCCTTGTAAGCTCCCTTCAAGTACTGGAAGGCCACAATGAGGTCTCCCTGGGGCCTTCTCTGCTCCAAGCTAAACAAGTGCAGGTCCCTCAGCCTTTTTTCACTGGATGGTGATCCAGCCCTTCTGGTTCTCCTCTGGATCAGTTCTACATTCTTGCTATACTGGGGCCCCAGGCCTGGGCACAGTACTCCAAATGGGGCAAAGTAAAGAGAGACAATCACTTCCCTCAGTCTCCTGGCCACCCTTCTTTTGATGCATCTCAGGATACTGTTTGCCTTCCAGGCTACAAGAACACTGTACCATCTCATGGTAAGTTTTTCATCTACTAGGACCCCAAAGTCCTTCTCCACAGGGCTGCTCTCAATGAGTTCTTTCAGTTTTTTATAGATATTTAGGATTGTCCTAACCCAAGTACAGCATCTTGCGCTTGGCCTTATTGAACCTCATTAGGTTCGCATGGGCCCACCTTTCAAATTTATTCAGGTCCCTTTGGGTGGCATTTGTTCCATCTGTTGTAACAACTGCATCTCTGAGCTAGGTGCAATCCACAGACTTGCTCAGTCTTATTATATATGCCACTAGTAAAGATGTTAAAGATTACTGGTCCCAAGATGGACCCACTGAGGGACATGACTTGTGACTGACCTCCACCTGAACATAGAGCCGTTGACCACAACCCTCCGGCTGTGACTTCCTAGCCAGTTCCTTATCCACTAATCCACTGTTTGAACCCATATCTCCAATTTGGAGATAAGAATGTTGCGTGGGACCTTGTCAAAAGCTTTGAAAGAGACCAGGTAGTCTGCAGAGTGAATGAGAAGTTTAATAAAAAGCTGCTGCGTTTTCTGTATCTTGTGATGAAGAATTTTGACAGCTTCAGCTGCATGTGTATAAAGTGTTAGAGACACACTTGACACACTTGCAGTGTTTTATGGTCTGTGTCACTCCTAATACTCAAAATGGTAATGCAAATGTAAATCAGTAATTTTTTTTTTTTTTTTGTCATACGTACAGATTTATGGTTATCCTGAACATAAATGGGGGAGGGTTTTGGGCTTTCTCTGATGAAATGTCTCATCAGAAAGTCTAGCAATAAGCTTTTGATAGATTTATAGGGTAATGAAACTTATAATTTCTAGTCAGAAGCATTTGCTTTCAAAAAATCTTTTATATTTTCATCTCGGAGTGGGTATTTTCCTGAATTTCAGCACACCAAATTGGTATGTGTGGAATTTACATATTTTGGTTCAACATCCTACAGTGTAACATAATTTGAATTTTTAGAAAGGAAAAAAAAAAAGACATAATACATCACACGTAAAACATTTCTCCTTGCAGAAGACCTCTGACCCCCTTGAATGTTATCTCTAAATTATATTGACTCGTGTAAGGATAGAAGGTTGGAGCTGCCAGTGTGTCAGTTTCTGTTTTACCACTCCTGCTCTTCCAAAAAAGACAATACTTTCAGAAATAAAAATTGTTTGCTGTTCACTGCGTAGTCCAGAGACCTTGCTAATGAGAACACAGGTGATGGGATTGAAGGGAAGTTGAATAACTGTGTATGTGAGAGCTTAATAAAGTGTGCATTGCTTGAAAAGTGTCTGTAATAAAATCAGTCTGATATCTAGAAAAGGATATCTTTAAAGAAACTGAAAGAAATGGAATTTAGTTTAGATGTCTCCTAGGAGACATAAGAGTCGTCTGGTATGTGCATAGTTGCTGCAACAGTGGTAGTTACGGTATTTAGCTGAAGCAAGAGGATTTTAGGTTAAAATGAAAAAACATATTCTAAAGCTTGTTTTTTTTTGTTTTTTTTTTACCACTAGAGATAGTCTGCAATTTCTATCACTTTGAAGAGTAGATGAGAGAAGTATGTCTGGGATGGTTTAAGTGTTGTGAATCCTTTCTTGAGACAGGGAAATGGACTGGATGAGAGTTTTCAGCTCAGTTTTCTGTTATTCCCTCAATGTTTTCTGAGATCCACTGGATTAGTCTGTCTCCTTTGGGAGTCTTGATGACTCTTCAGGCATAAGGGTTATGCTCTCTGCTTCTTCCGCGTTATCCTTACATTAGAGGAAGTGGTTAAATTTTTGTTTTTTTCTCATAATTTTAAGAGTTGCAAAGAATTTGGGGTATTTTATTTCTCTCCTTACAGTTATACATACATACAGTATGAGTGTAGGTCATAGATAAAATAATTCTCTAAGATGTTGTAATGTATGAAAGGCTGAATGTTGCAAAAAATAATATTTAGAAATTGACTATTAAGAAATTACTGTTTCAATTAGCCCCAAGCCTGAGCAACTTTACTACACAAGTATTCTATTGAAAAACTGATTGTAGAAGTCTTTTAATCGGACTTTTCATTTACTAGTAGCTTTAAGCTTGACAGCTGTCAAGTTGGTCTTTCCAAAAAGATGGCTGCTCCTAAAGAATCCCATTGGATCTCCTATCTTTTCTTCCTTTCTAGAACTGAAGTGTCAAGTACTTATTTTTACTCCTTTACTTTTTGTTTCAGGCATTTTCAATAAATAGGATGATGTGATTGGCTGCATAAATATTAATTAATAATGATGATAGAGAATGTTTATATAATGTAGTTTTACATTATATAAGAATCTCTACGGCCAAATCCTCACCTTAGCAAGGAAGCCCATTACTGCAACTGTCTTAGACTAGTACCTACCTTTTAGCTTTTTAAAACTTAAGCACCTAGCCTTCTGTTTGGAGACAGCATTTCTAAAGGGAGGTTTAGGTTTATTAGATGCTTTCAGAAGGAGACTGTGTCTCTTAATTTCTCTCTGGCTATATAACTACCTTAAAGCAGAAACTTAGCTATTGGTTATCAAGGTTATAAGTTTTATTTGCAGGCTAGAGTTTATTATTGTGTTTGGCAGCTTTAAGGGAGTCAGCACCTGGTAGACTTCAGGCTTCTTTTTTTATTATTTTTTCCTGGAAAGCTAATTTCAATTAAGTGTTAACATTTTTCCAGTTCTAGAAACAGAATCTAGAATAAGGCTTTTCAAGTCTGAATGGTGAAAGGCTAAAATAAAGTGGAAAAGTTATACTTTCTGTATAGCTTAGTTGGGAGGAACCTGTTAAGAAACTTCTCACTGATCAGAATAACTGCTTTTTGTTTGGCAAAAATTCAAGATCTTGATGCAATTCACAAAGCTCCAGGCTGTGAGGGTAAAGAAAGAGTAATGTAAAGAAATTGGACAGCATTGATCTGCAGCCTAAGGTAATCTTTTTTTTTTCCTTCTTCTTCAACACTTTAAAAAGTATTGCTGAGCAATACCACCTTTATGTTGCTGTAATATGAGGAATGGTACAAGGGAATGAAAAAAAACATTTTTAGTGTTAGTCCAGGTGTTAGCACTAACTATATGCAACTGGGAAGAATAATCAGTCTTTAGACCTCCATCTGAACCTTGATAATATCTCTGCTGATGATACATAAAACTACAAAGAGTGAAGTCAGGGATGCATAGTGCCAGAAGGTGACATTAGTGATAATGCTAAAGCTGGGCAGGAATACCAGTTATTCCAGGTTCCATCTGCAGATGGGGCAAGCACAGTTTGAAATGTATTGCAGATCGAGAAAGAAGGAAGTCTGTATACAAAAGTTTTCCTTTGGCTTAGTCGGCAATACAGAAAGCACAATGAACTGCAGTGGGAAAACAGACATCTTCAGAAAAGAGCAGTCTCTGAAATGCAAGAAAAGGAGGGTGTCTAATTGCTGTCTCATTAATTCTCATTAGTTCTCTGATGATTTGCAAAGTGAGATTGTATTTGCAAGTTTTCAACTAGGAGTGGAATCAAGAAATGATGTGTGAGGAGTTTGGGTAAGAACAGACAAAATATGAGAGCAAAAGTAAAACACTTGAAGAAACTAGACAGATAACAAAACATTGTGACAAACCACATGTAGAAAATTGTTGGAGAACATGCAGTTAAAGCTATTGTCTGTTATTTTGGTAAAGAGGCAGAATTTTTTCCCAATGCAGCACTTTCCTAGAAAACAGAGATTAAAGCAATTGTAAATGTGTGGACAGTACTCATCAATGCTTTTAAATTCTGAATAAAATCACGTGTGGTGAGACACAGAATGGTTATGGGAACTCCAAGCAGAAAGTGTTGACTGCTGAGCATAATGGCATATTTATACACGTGCATTTATTCCAGCTATCAGAGGGTGTTCTACAACTTAAAAAATGCTTCAAAAGTTTGGCTTTTAAAATCCTCAGTCACTGCGGGTAACCAAAAAAGGAAGTTAAAAACAAAATAGATGAAGAACACAAGGTGTGGTACTGGCTGTAGCAGACACCTTGGTCCATATAGCAGCCCAGGAGAAGAGAATTTGATTTATTGGGTTGGATGGTGGTTTTGTTTTGTTGTTGGTTTTTTTTTGGTCTGTGTGTTTTGAAACGTGAATCTGAATCTAAATTAAGAATGCATTGATTCATCCTTTTTTCTCTTTAATGGATACGCACTGTGGTATTTTTGTCACGATTTAGCTTTGTTTCAAAGTCTAATATCTGACTTTGAGAGGCTTCGAAAGACATTCTGTGGCGACTTTTTTTTGTTTTTCCTTTGTTTCCTTGTATATATTAAGCTTGGTGCAAGGAAACTTTGCAGTAATTAAAATAACTGCATAATCTCCATTGTTACATTTTTCGTGACTGAGTAGATCTGTTTTAATTTTACGATGTGATTATTTACAAGGAAGTTATGCCAAATTCTGCTGGATAATCGTTGAAGATTCACCCGTGGGAAAAGCTTCATCACAAACTTGGCAGGAAATACTTGGCGATTGCTTTCTCAGAATTCATCCAAAGAAAGTGCCTTTGACTGAAAGGAGAGTCATGCACCTCTGTTTGGAGAAAGTCCTACAGCTTTTTTCTTTCCTTCTTGTAAGGAGTCCAGACTCTTTGTTAGTGTCTTAGAGTGTCTTAGGAAATAATATATGAAAATATTTCTTTTTCTCTGTTAGGAAATTTTTCAGAGTTCTTCCTCTACCAAGTGAAAACTGGAGTGCTTTAGTAGAAGAGTGGTGTTGTCACCCTAATCCCTTTGCAAGAAGCACTTTACACCCTCAGCATGATGACTGTTTTCTTGGAGAGACTTTTCTCCTGTTGAATTCAAGAAATGAATCATATGTGCCTGAATCTCTCAAGTGCAGCTCAGAGACTGAACATCATCACACTTCTCAGAATGACTCTACCCTGGTAAAGTAGTTTGTTTTAATAATTCTTAGGGGAATGTATTTGAATTTTCTTCCTTGTGAAACACATTTTTATCACTGGCTTATTTAACTTATAAGTATTACAAGGGTGTTTTGAAGGTCAGAGAGGGTTGCTGGCATTCAGCTGCATTGAAGCCAGACAATACACGCACCATGTCATGACACTGACCTGGGTATGAACCATTTAACAATGTAGTTCTGGAACCAAGTGTTCCCTTTTCCCCCCAAAAAAATATCCTCAGTGGAGAACATCAATATTTATTCAGATTGTAACTGTGATTGGTTAGGTGTTTTACAAGGGACAGTGAAACAAAGCAAAAGGAGAAAACTAGAGTAGCAGTGCTTTTCTGCTCCAAATATGACTGGATGCATAACTATAAATATGATCAAAGGAAAGTGTAGGTTTTGTTTTGTTTTATTTTTTAGTAAGATTTAAAACGATCAGAAAGTGTTTCAGATATAGCTCCCTTATGCTGGCAGAATGAAAGAAGAATGTTGAGCTTATTTGAGGGCTCTTTGTCTGGTAAAAAGGATCTGCCACTCCAGACTGTAACTGCTGAAGGTGACTTTTGTAAAGTGTTCCAGGAGGAGATATCCATCAGCTGAGCCTGAAGGAATAGGGCTACCATTTAGCTTAGAAACATCAAAATTTGTTGTTGCTCAGGAAAAAAAAGTGTTTATAGGCTGATACTGTTGTTTCAGTAGTGAGTTGAGGAAATAAAATAGATTGCTTTACTCGTCTTGGAAATCCAGCACTCATAAAAGTTTGAGCAGTAATTACTTCTGCCACCAAAAGAGCATCAAGTAATTTAGCTTGCATTTCCATAAAATCTTTTCTGTTAATGTACAGCTTGTCTGTATTTGTGTTAACACTTATCCTGCAGATCTGTCCCATACTGTGTATTAAACCTAATAGTTTAAAGTTCTTCAGCAATTTTGGAAACTGTTACTGCCTTATGTGCCTGTAACAGCTGATATGCGGATTCCCTGCAGCAAATTCTTCATCTATTGAAAGTAACATCAGAGGCCCTGATTCTTATATAGTGCTGCTGTTTACCATCATAAGGGATTTGTATTATCTCCTTTTTAAATCGACAGGATTCCAGCAGGTCAGTTGCCAATGGTGTGATGCATCCTAGTGAGCCATCTGTTTTGAGAACAGTTCTGTCCTCCTGTCTGTATCTGCAAGTCCTGAAGCTATGGTCTCTCTAGTTTCTTGTTCCATTGTTCTTTGAAAAACAAAATTTGGGGAAGGGAATATAAGAATTGGTATCCTGAAAGGATTTCAGCATGAGAGAAGCAGATTAATCTGGATTAGATCTTGAGTTGACAACTGAAGTTATGTATTCTAAGTATTAAGAAGGCGGATAAGTAGAAGATTTTGAATTTCCAAGAGGACAATGCCTTCTGTCAGAGGTCTCCAAAATTAATTATCTCACATCTCAGTAGTTTCAAAAGGGATCATGGAACAATGGGAACAAAGATGAGAAGAGGCAGTGTCTATGGAATTCATACTGCAGCCCAGAGAAGGAGGAGCAGTCTGCCCAGCATACTTTTAAAATCAATCAAAGAAATGTTTGACAGGGAAATGCTGCCTTTGAGGCAGAAACATAATAAAAAAGATACGGGACAGAAATGTTACTGAGATATGGGTCACCAGAATAATAACAGAACTTTGAATGAGAGAGGAGGCTATTTTCTGTCAGAAACTTACAATACTAATTTAGTGCGATGAATCTTCGGATTGGCTTTCTTGTTTAGAACTTGAGAATTCTTTCCTTGTTTGTGTCAAATCCCTCTTTCTACATCTTTCAGGCTTACACTGAATTCCAATTTCCATGTTTTCGTATTTCTAGCATCGCTCAGTTGCCAAGGAAATGAGCAGAAAACTATAAGATCAAGCAGAAGCTGGATTAATAAGGGAAAAAGTCCTCATACTGAAACAGAAAATTCTTCCATAATATGAGAGGAATAGAAACAAGATAGATTGCTATTGGCATAAATGTTCTCATTTTGGAGAATACCACTGCAATTTGTCTCAGTATGAAAGTTCTTTTTTAATTGCATTGCAGTTCTTTGGAAAGTGTTGCGTATGACCAAAATAGTAGCAGGAATATACTAGATATGCTTAAACAATCTTTTCCTGCCTCCTGTGGGACGAAGACAACATCCTTCCATTGCAAACATATTTCTCACATCTATTAGTCTTCCAGTGTAACACAGTATTTAAATGTCACATGGTTCTGCAGCATCCTAATAGTATCTCTTGGGGAAAATATTTTTCCCTGTTGCCATATCAGGGATCTTTAGGAATAGAAGCTGAAAATACTGGGCTGGTGATCCACCTCCATCTGCCGATTGCTAGCAGCTGCAAGTTATCAAATAGATATATTGATTTAATTAGCCTAGCTAAAGGTATTGCTTTTTCTGCTGAAGTGTGATATGGTGAGTTAGTGGTGCTTTATAGGTACAGTAGTGCACAGTTCTCAGCTAGTACCTGTAACCATAGTCAGGAAAAAACATCTGAGTTGTAGCTTTCAAGGAAGTGCTGCTGTATACAGGTTACTGTGCAGTTTTTGTATCATCCTCAATAGAGAGGGCAGAGGATTAGGACTTTATCATCATGAGTTCAGATCCTGTGGGCCACTTCCTTGTTTTTGGGAAGCTGGAATAGTCCTTTCTGTTCATTTTAGTATTTGCATAGTACAGATCAGAGAACTCTTGCCAGACATTCCCAGCATCAAATCCTTCATTTCTGTTTGAGCTATAGCATGACTTTGAGAAAGATGTCAAGTACTGATTTAATAGTCAAATGAAGGCAACTTTATCATTCTTTGGTAAACTGTTTCACTGGTTAATCAACCTGAATCTTTGCTGCCTACTTATTAAATTAAACACAGTAAGAATTGTAACTCTTTATCTCTTTTCCTGTCTATTTATTTTCTGGAAAATATTTTTGTAAGTTTTCCAATTATTTTCAACACTCTCTATAGATGCATTTTATCAGTAATCACGTTACTAATTCTGGAGAATTAAATTCTCTATATTATCCTTGTAGTGGAAATGCTAAGTCATGTCCTGAAGCAGTGATTGAGCACCTGCTAGGAAGGCAGGGTCAACCCAGGGGTGCTCAGGTGCATGCAATGCACCTGAATGACCAGAAGGGGTGGAGCCAGGGTCCACCTGTTCCCAGACCTCGTGTAAGGGCTGGCAGTGGAAATGAGGTTATCTCGCTGGAGATCCCTGCCTGCCTGAGGTCTTCTTAAGGTAAGCAGTTTTTTTTTTCTTTGTTTCTCTATCCTGTGGCTGCTGCATTTGGGTTGTCCTCATTTGCTGCATAGGACTTTGCTGCTCTGCCATTATATATTATAACATTATAATCCTTATCAACAATTCAATTGTTTATACATTCAGAAATCATTTTTTCTCTTTCTTCTGTAGCGTTTCATTAGTAATTCATGTTTAGCTAGCTACTATCATCTAAATTCTTTTAATTTTTGCTGTCATCTGCTGTTTGAGCACGTGCTTTGGAGTAAGTGTAACTTAATGGTCCAGACTGGTGCTTGTAATTCATTTGTCTCCCATGTGTAAGTTTCCCTGTCATTGCAGTAAGAGGTCCCTACTAAAAAATTGGCCCAATGTGTGTATTTTACTCCTTCATCACCTCTTTCATGGCCTCTGAATCAGAATGAGTCAAATAATAATGTATTATTTAATGGTGACAAGGATAATTAGGCTTGGATATCTTCATAATCTGGAAGCACATCATCTAGGTTCTGCAGACAATCTGTAACAGACATACCTCAGCATTTTCCTTCAGAAGATGAAAAGCGTACCTGAGACTATACTGAGACGATAGGATTTGTTTTATTCAACTTTTTTTTTTTTTTTTAATTCTGTAATGTGGTAGGCCACAAGTTACCAATTTGTGATCTGGATAGCAGTCTGTGAGAACTGCCTTGCATCACACATTTTAAAATTTGAGGACTATGGTGGTGGCAATGAACATAAACCATATTCTCTCCAGTTGGAATGTATGGGAACTGTAGGCATCTCTTAGGCTGCAGAAACAGATAAATGCAGAGTGGAAATACTCTAATTTAATTTGCTCTAAATTTAGACAGTCTTATGTAGGCAAATCCTGCAGTAGGATTTCTTAAGTTGGTTGTGACTTGTTTGGACTTTACCAAGCTTGTAAGGCAGTAGTTGTTCAACTACACATTGGTATTTTTATGCACTGTGTATTGAGTTAACAATTATGAAAGTATTTGTACAAAGACAATTTAGAGGTCTTCTCATGAGATTCCCGAATTTTTAGTTGCGGAAAGGTTTTTTTAACTCAGGAGCATCTGTGTTTGCCTACACATCTCACTTCCAGATCAGAGTTGTACTGTGCTACAGCCAGGCTGATAATCTCACATAGAACCAATTCTGGAGTTTGTGTTAATGTAGGAGTTGTGCTTGCTTGTATCCATCTACTGATAACGAGTTTAAATGTGAAGACTGGAATTACTAGAATAGAGCTGTATCCACACCACCTTTCTGAAATACCATAATACATTGTGTTCTGTAGTTCTTTCCTAGTAATTCTACATACTCTATAGACCTTTTATACTTTGCTGAACATTAAACTGTTCATTCCTACAGTCCTGTCCACAGTGGTTAAAACTTTCTACTGAGTGATGGTAGTGTGTGGGAGCTGTTGAGTCACAGCCTGAACCACTGAAAGATCGCCTGGGGAAAGGACCCTGTCAGCCCTGGGAGCACAGGTGAAGGCAACTCAGTTGTGTGACTGGAAGGGGTGGAGCATGGTTGCACCTCTCTTATAACCCTCCCCCATTTAAGGGCTGACTGCTCTGGGGAAGGATCTCTGGTTGGAGATCCCTCCCTTGTGGATTTTTTCCCCGTGAGCCTAGATCCTCAGAGATGGGTGAGCATTCCTTTCATGTTCGTCCCTTTTGCTATTCCACTTCTGTATTGTCTTTCCACTGCGCTAATCTTTCTGACTGTAACAGGTCATCATTTTACAGTGTAATATTTTGTATATGTAATTAGGAATAGTTCTTGTGTGCATTATTTTTCCCTTATCAAAATTGAATTTACCTCATCACTTTATCATACAGTCACTGAATATTATGAGATTCTCTTGTTATCTGTTATCATAGTTGTCCTATGTGATTGGTTATACTGCCAGATTTAAAAATTGTTATGAAACTTGAAAGCGTGTCGAAGTGTAGAAGACTGAAGTAGTAAATGCACATCTTTGTGTATGTGAATGTAAAGGGAACAGACTAAAGTACAAAGTTCACTATATCCTACTGGGAGTATGTTAAAATTATAGAGTTCTTTTTCAGAATAACAGAGCAGCATCTAAATGATGTTTCTTTGTCCTACAGAAATCAAAGGAAAATACCAGAGTAATTTGTGAGCGCTGCAAGACAACACTGGGAGAAACAGTATCATCAGGTATTGTGTGTGCAATCTTAACTGTACTTGCCTGCATCAGCTAATGAGCATCAGAGGTTAAAAACTCCAGAGGAATGTTGTTTATCAGAAAAAATGTAATGCTGGAGCCAGTGTGTTTGTGGCATTCCTTCCTGGAATTGCTCTCTCTGTGAGACCTTGAGCTAGTGACTTACGCAGGGACGTTCCTTGTTTTGGTTTTTGAGGCATATTTGATTAATTCTAAAGCTTTGAAAGATGGAAAGCATGGTTCCAGTTTAGTAGGAATCGCAGTCAAACAGGAGATCTGAAAAATTGCAGATCGTTTCTTTGTTGTCAGTCATACAGAATGATGGAAAGGTTAATTCTTAACTTGTCTTAAGCTTCTAGTGCTTTGTGAACTGTTATTGCTAACAGCAAGTCTGGTTTCATGGAAAGGAAGTCTCTCATCATTTGATGATGAAATTGTGAGATTCTTGGTTTTCTAAAAGCTGTTGTGACATTGAGTATTTAAAGCTTACCTGATGTATTCAGAAGATGTTCTTCAAAGTGCCATTTTTAACAGAGAGATAAGCAGTGATAAGACTGTTTTTAGCAGGATTTTTTTCTTTTGTTCTCTCTCTGCTCTACTGCAGATGTGTGAGTCCATCTCAGTTCAGAGAGTATAAAAATGTAGCAGGAAATGCAAAGTCTGTTTCAGAAAGAAGTTATGAGTAGACAGAAGTTTGAATGATTATTCTGTACAGAGATCTAAAAAATACAAGTGCTAAGAAAAGTATTTTTTAAGGTAAGATGTTTGAAATCCTACAAAGCAAGTTGTAAGACTTTGCAAAATCGGGCTAGAAAAGATCCTTGCAGATCCTCACAAATTAATGCCCCCATCTAAGCCTTCAGACAACTCTAGCAATGATGTGATCATTGACAGAGGAAGCAGGAAGCAGTGTAGGTGTGCAGGGGATTGTTTTGGACTCTATATTTTGGTGGAGTTAGAAAGCTTGTTGGTTGCTTTCAGCATGTTCCATCAGCACTGTAAAAGCTTTATGGAGAATTTGAAGAACAGACACAAATCTGTTCTTTTCCTCATCTCTGTTCCCATATATGCTTAGGCTTTTTTTTTGGTGGGGAAGGGGGAATTCCCACCTTTTATTTCTGCGGGCAAACATCTTCTCGATTCCCAGTACCTTTTACAGCAGTGGAACGTATTCCTTGCTTAAGGTAAGCCTTCTTGGACAGGGCACAGCATGGAGCTGACTAGAATTAGCTCAGAGGTAACATATAATTTCTTAACAGTGAGGGTAATTAAATTAACTATAATACTTATCTAGACAAGGTGTGGAGTTGCCAAGCCTTAGAATAGTTAAAACAGGATTAAGTGTCTTACTGAGAATCATAGAATAGATTGGGTTAGAAAGGACCTTAAAGACTGTCTGGTTCTGATTTCCTTGCTGTGAGCAGAGAAGCTTATTTTCATCCAGGTTTTACAGTGTGTCTGGACAGCTGTCAAATGAGGCATTCCATTCTACTCTTGAAATTTATGGAACTGATGAATCTTCACTGTTGCTCATATGTTAAGTCTTATTGGAATTAAGTTCTTTGTATGTGTAACCTTTTCTGCTTGCTATTTGGTTAGGCTGTGTGTGTAGCCTACGCTTGGAGCTTCGATGTGATGGTTTTTTGACATTCTCGATGAAGACTAAATTCTGAACTCAAAACATTTCCATTTGGTGCTAAAAGAATGTCTTGGAGCTTAGTGCAGTTTTTGGAAAGAGATTCTAACCTACCTCTTTGAGCAAGGAAGAAGATTATTCCCGTGTGTAATGCTACTGGAACTCTTGTGGTTCACTGCAGCATTACTGAGCAGCAGAGGATTCTAAAATACCATGTAAGCTATGCTGATCTCAGTAATTTAGGAAAGGGGTTTTTTTTTACTATGTCTTACAGGTTTGTCTTGATAGCAGTGCATAGTGGGCAGGAGTTAACTGACACCAGCAAACATCAATATGTAAGACGTTTCAGTCCAGGTGTTTGGGTTCTTGCATACTTTGTTTCAAGGTGATTGTTCCTACTGTTAAACAGGGATCAATGTGAATGGTAAACTGCTAGAATGCTGCTCTGAAATAATTACACGATCAGCAATGTTTTCTTTTATCAAATACTTCTCCCACAGACTCAAGCATGAATTTGATCACGTGCTGCACATCTTAATTGACTGCGGAACAAGAAACTAATTATAGTGTAATTAAATACAAAAAAAAGTCTTCGTTATTTAAAGGTGTTTTTCATTTTAGATACTATTAAATACTATGTGACTGAGGTGATTGTTTGGCCATCTGAGGAAACCTTCAGCACAATACCAAGGTAAAAAAAAAAAAAAATAAAATCAGATAAGTTGCTTAGTTTTTTATATTCTGGAAAGGATGCTAGCAACCTAGTAACATTTTAATATTGAAAATTTTAAGTGTAACAAAGTGCTACGTTTTAAAGGTAATGTACTCTGTATTCACTCATGCACAATTTTGTGTCTATAATAAGGAGATTACAATTTATTGCAGTATTTCACTGTTCAGCCAATAAACAAAAATAAAATACTTATTTGAATTGTGTAAGTTTTCATGGCATTTGGTGACTAACTATTGAAATTGAAGATAGTTGTGTAGAGTGAAGTAAGCTTGTAATGTTTCATTGGAAGTTGGGCTTTTAGATTTTCAAGTAATTCAATTTGTAACTAAGATGGCACAGAACGTCATTCAATTATCTTGTATTATATACTTTCTAGTAGTCATTGGTCTTTCTAATTGTGAATTATATTTTAAGTATGTACACTTTTCTGAACTTTGTGTTTTTATGTATAAAGTATAAGGAAAAATGTTTACTCATCATTTGATGTTTTGGTGTTGGTTAAAGTAAGGGATATGGAGCAATTTAGATGCTAATCTGTTAAATAGTTCCTGTTGCAGGAGATAGAAGGTGGTTTTGGTGGAGGCAAAGATAAAGAAACTCGATTTCTTTGTAAAAATGGATAGTAAGGTTGTAGTGGAATTCATAGTATGAAGTTGCTCATACTTGCACTGCATTGATATGAATGATCCTACCTGTGTAGTTGCTATTAAAATGTACGATGCGTTTAATTCTTTAACAGGTCTCAATTCATACAGAGTATGGTTGCTCAGTGTCTTGTGGAATTGTCCTCTGCTAAAAGCACATTTAGATTCACCATAAAAGGTGACAATGGAAGGATCTATATTCTGGTAAGTTTTTTATCTTGAAAAAAGCTTGTTAGGTAAAGCAAAAGCTGTGTCTGTAAGCAAGGCAAAAAAGGGAATCCATTTAGTACTTTCAATCAGCATGCCGGTATTCAGCCAGTTCTAGGAAAGCAGGGCTCCTCATATGTAGCAGTTTCTTGGGAATATAAACACCATCACTCCCAGGGGCATTTTCATGCCTCCTTTCCCCTGGCTTTTGTTCCTGTGCATGATGCCCTGTGGCCAGTTCAGATCAGCTGTCTTGGCTGTGTCCCCCTCACAGCACTTTGTGCATCCCAGCCTCCTTGCTACTAAGGCAACATGGGAAGAAGATATGTTCTTGGTTCTGTGTAGACATTGCTCAGCAGCAATGAAAGCATCAGAGTGCTACTGCCTCTGCTTTTGTCCTAAATCCAGAACATAGTGTTGTACCAGCTACTATGGAAAAAATTAACCCCGTCCCAGTCAAAACCGGAACACGGAAATAACAAGAATTTCTACTCAGAAAATATGGAAAGCTTAGATCTTGGCTTTGTAAAATAATCTCATATTTCTGTTCCAGTGTTTCCTATCTTTAATCACTACAAGTTCATCAAATTATGTAGTATCTTTCACAAATGCTTTCTTAGTTCAGGAGAAGTTATTCATGTAGTCAATATATTGCATTAGAAAATGAAACGCAGACAATAGTAAAATTTCCAATTGTACTTGATGATTTAATGCTGTTAAGCTTGCCTATTTAGACAGTAACATCTAAATTCTTCAAAGTTTTAAGGTGATTTGGGATTTGAGCCTGGAGTTTAATAATAGAGGCCAGCTTAGCATTTTAATGCTCATTATTAATCAGTATGAGGTTGAGTTAACATAGGAACCAGCTTCTAATTGTAATCCCTTCATTTTTATTTTTATTTTTATTATTATTATTATTATTATTATTATTATTTATTTTTTTTTTATTTTTTATTTTTTTATTTTGTATGTGTGTGTGTGCGTGTGTGTGTGTCTGTGTGTTGAACATCAAAACGCCTTGTTCATTTCCATGGTGATACTCTGGGAACAGTACATGCACCGACAGGTGTTCCAGAGGTACAGTTTAAGTCTTGAAACTCAGAGACCTTGTGGATACAAGTGTAATGGAAGCAGAGTTTATACTAATGTTTGCAAATAAATAAAAAAAAAAAAAAAGTAACTGCTTAGGGCTGTAAGTGCACAGACAAGTGGTCTCATCACTGATGTATAGTGGGCCAGCTGTTCCACTTGTTTGTATTGAAAATGAACCTGTCAAAGATTTCCATGTGTAATGTTTGCGTTTATGTAACTGAATGTATGCAGCCTAGGCTGTGTATTTAATAATTAAGGTTGAGGTCCTTCAGAAGTCTTCTTTTGAAATGTTTATTGTCTCTGTATATCACTTAACATTATACAGTTACATTATCTATGGAGAGCATAACTTGAGTTTCTGTAAATTGGTGATAACCAAGTTTTTGAAAGCTCTGTACTTAAGGATTTTTAAGACTGAGAGTAAATAAAACTGTGATAGAAGACTAAAATGTGGCTCAGACAAATCTTTACTTATCCTGTCTGTGTCATCTCCTAGATGGGCTTCACCTAATAAAACTCCAAAAGCTTCACCTGTGAAAATTTTGTGGTAGGGTCCTGAGTAGTCCAGTCTTAACTAAATTGTTCTTTGGAGTAGGATTAGGTAAGTTAGCTCGTATTTTAGCACTGAGTGGGAAGGGAGTAGGAAGGTAACCCAAGAAAAGAAATGAGACAAATGGGAGGGACTTGTCAGTCAGATACTGATTCTTCGATTGTGTTTTTGAGAGCTTGAGCAGAATGAGTTTGTATTCGTCAAGGCTAGAGAAGGGGATGTTGCAGCAATCAAGATGTGATGACTACCTTGTTGAAACTTAGTTAACCATCTCTTTTAGAGAGTTGTATTCTCTGTGAGGTATGAAAAAGACCAAATTTAATCCATTTAGTTTAAATGTGAGGGCAGAGGTGTTGTAATGGAGTGTATGTACAGTACGAACCCACGTGATACCAAAAGTATTGGTAATGTCTGCAATAGCTGGGAGTGAGGAGGAATAGCAGCTGTTTCTAGCCACGTTAAATCAAAGTTTGTGCCTTATTGTTCTCAAAGGGAAGCTGAAGACATAGATTGAGATTTTGGGAAACTCACCGAAAGTAGATCACTGTATTTTACTTATTTGGATTAAATCCCACCAAGTGTAACAGAGATTTGTTGCAGCTCTTTTCCTGACAATATCTTTGAAACTTACTGGCAGGATGATTTAAAAAGGAAAAAGCTACACGAAAATACTTTCTCCCAAAGCTGCCATATGAGGAAAGGTCATCAATCTGCATTATGAATAAATTCTAAACTTTATCTATGGATCTTTGTTTGAAAGCTGTTTTCTTACTGGAGTTAAAGTCAAAGGAATTTGGTTCAGCAGGCACTGTTTTTGTACAAAATAGTAGAAAGAAAGATTGTCTGTGGTCAACAGAATGGTTGAAAGCACAGACGAAAATCTGAATGCTGTGCTGGCCACAAATAACATACATAAGCTTCTTTGAGTCACTGTACTCAGCTTAGTGAGCGGTTGTTCATTCACACCAAAAGCAGGATTTGAAAATAAGTCATTCATAGTTGATAGTTGTAGAATATACTTTTTTTTTTTTCCCCTCATAGCGAAGTGTTTATTCTTCCCTTCTAAAGGTGCAGTTGATTGTTTTGCACTGTGGGCTAAATGACTAATGCAGACCTGTGGTGTCACTATTGAGAAAAGGACACTCTTTGAAGAAGTGGTAGGAAGTTGCTGTCAGAAATGGTACATCAGCACTTTTGATAGAAGTACTTTTCACGTAGTTCATGTTGCAAATTAAATGGATTAATTGCTTTCTCTGAAGAAAGTTCCAGGAAAATTCTGACAGATACAACTGTTCCATGGACTAATTGTAAGGATAGTTGCCTTCCAAAAGGCATCCAAAAGGGGCTTCTTAAAAAGGAAGTCTTAATTTCAAAATTAAGAAACGCTGTTTAATTAAAGCTACTTGTGGTGGTAGTGGCCTTTGTGTTTAGGTTGCTTCTCTTCTGTCCCCATTTTCTCCAACATCTTCAATGTGCAACTTAAAAGCACCGTGTGTAACAGCCTGAGCTGTGAGGTATATTTTGCTGTTCAGTTTATGAATGTACTTTGAGTTACCAGAACAAAACTGATAAACAGCCACTTGCTAAGTGTGAAGCTCAGTTGCTTGTCATCATTTATGTGTGTATGGGAACTACTGAGTCACAGCCTGAACCTCTTTTTGATCACCTGAGGCGAGCCATGAGTCAGCCAGAGGAGCACAGGTGAAGCCTGGCTCCACCCCTCGTAGACCTATTTAAGAGCTGGCTACCAGAGGGGAAGGGTCTCTTCTGGAGATCGCCTCTATTGGTGTTTTGCGGTGAGCCCAGCCGAAGGGTAAGCCTCCCATTTTGTTCTCTTTTGTTATCATTGTCCACTTTGCCTAACTCTCTTGATTGTATTGTAGCATCTTGATATCCATTGATTATACAATTGTAACATCTTGATATCCATTGATTATGCAGTGTGTGTAAGCAAAATTGATTGTTCCCTCTCAGAACTTCTTTATCCATTCATCAGTGAAAATTTCACAAATAAGCATAGATATATTCTGAGCTTTGATCTCCAAACTGTGATTGTTGCATTCAATTATGACATATACTATGTGTCCTGTTACCAGTGGCTTTTTTTCCTAACTGGGCATGTCGCACATCTGCTACCAGCCTTACCTTAGACCATGTTAATTGCTGTTTTTCTCATTGTATTTCTTAGATCTATCCAGTCATAAGTAAATGTTTTGTAAAACTTCTTACTTGTTCCCACTTCTAGTGGGCAGCCTTTCAGTTCCCTGCCTGTAGCACGCAGTCATTCAAAATGATGTGCTCTACTAGAGAGAAAGAGATGTTAATAGTGAATGACTGTATTAACTCCTGGTTTTCTTCTCTAGGGACTGTGATATGTAATAGTGAAAATAAAATGTCAGTTTGCTGTTTTTTGACACTTCCTTAGAAACTGTCACGCTGTGTTAGTATCAGCTGTTCGTGGTACATTGGATTTAGGATTAGAGTAGAAGAAGAAATTGATGTCATCCTCAGTAAAATAATTTATTTCTTTATTTATAGATATGGCTTTTAAATTCTGACACATTGCTGGTGGAGTCCTCAGGAAGTTCCTCCTCCCACAGTGTCTTTACACTGTTTGGCGATAATTTCATGGCAAGCTGTGGACCATCAGGGATGTGGAATGCTGTCAAAGTTCTCTACCAGCCGTGCATTAATAACAGGAATAAAGAGTAAGTATGGCCTTTTTTGACCTCAGATTGTGATTTTTGATTAATTTTGCTTTTCAGGTCAGAAATATTTCTTTGAGGTCCTTTAGACAGTCCAGTAACATCAGAGGTGTATGTTCCTTTTCAGGATTTCATGTTTTACTCTTTTTCATTTCGTTATCAAAAGGAAAAATAATAGTTTGGTTTTCCCTTAGAGAAAAGTCTAACGGTTAAATTTTTGCAGCGTAATGTTAATATGTGGACAGGAGAGTAATGCTGTTCTTAGAGGCACACGTATGAATGATACAAACAGAGTTATCTCCCTTACATGGGAGAATGATTTACTTTTTCATTTCTTCATTTTTTCCCTTTCTGAACTCACTGTGTACTTTTAGAGCTTGGTCTTTTTTTCAGCTCTGTTGACAGATGCTGGAAAGATTGTGGTGCCATGAATTCCAAGGAGGAGGAGTGAGGTCTATCCATACTGTCTCAGACATGCTGCTCTATAGCTGTAGCTCTGGGCAGCATAACTGAGAGAGGAGGGAAAATTGAAGGAAGGTGAGCATAGGCTGTTGCTTGAATGATGCTTGTGTTTAGCCAGATCTTTCTCTTTGACTTTTTGTCAAATTTCTGTGTTTTACATGAAAATCCAAGCTCATCTGTCAAGATACTTAGAGGACTAATCCTTTCTGTGATTCCCCAGTAAAGAATTTGGGCAATTTTGGTACAGTTGAAATCAAGAGGGCACAGCTGGGTTGCTCATAGTTCAACAGACTGCCTGTTCCAACTTCAGTCTTGACCATTAAAATTATGCTTTGCTTTGTAAGACGTAGAGTTGTGTACAGGACTGGAATGTCTTAACCCAAGCTACCTTTCGCTACCTTTCTAGTGGATCACAATAAATTAGTATTAGAATAATCTCTGTTTATGTGGACAGTGTGCTTAGCAGTGCCACTGTTAAGATATACTTCTTGTAGCCTAGAAGAATAGGAATAATGCCATACAGTAAACCTCTGCTTTTTGCGTTACTTATTTGTGAAGGAGATGTCCTTTTTGGATGGTTCAGAAATTCACTGAGACAACAAATTAGCCTGAGTGTAACTGTAACTTGCATTCAAACCAGTGATGGCAGTATCTCAAGCACAAATGAAGCCTAAAGGAAAGGGGAAAGAGAAGAGGTATTGAAGGTGGTTGAGTTGAATGCCATACCAATATTTATGTTTCCAAGTCTGCTAGAGCCCCTAGGAAAAATTTTATTTGAGCAAACATTGAGAAGACATTATGACAAATGTCCTACCTAATGTATTAAAGGCTGTAACTGTTAGAAAGCAAAGGTGTGAGAATATTAAGCAGTGACTCTGATGTTTGCAGGTGATAGAAAATTTTAAATATAATCTCTTGCTTTTAGTTCTGTAGTGATAGAACAGACAGATGTTTTTCTGTAGGTCACCCTTAAATAGTGGTTTAGTGTTCTTATTTTTCCTTCAAATTTTGGAAATAAGATGAAAGTTTTAAAGAGCTATGTATGTATGTAAAATGTAGAAGGGGTTCCCTGAAGATTCAGTAAGTACACTAACTTATAGTCCAAGAGCTCATAAAAGTACAACAAAACGTCTTGCACAGACAAGGAGGTATGCATACATCTTACACATTTAGATATTTTCATGGAAGAAATATACACCTTGCAAAAATGTGATGCATTATAGTGAATATTGCCAAGGTTATCTGTTTTAATTTTCAAACAGATTCCAATATTAAGTGAAATAAACTCTCTAACATGGGAAATATATTTAAAGTGGACCTATTTAAATAAAAAGATGAAACTACAGGACAAGCTATTACTGTTATTCATAGAAGAGAAAAGATTACCTTTATGAATGGTGTAGTTTCAGGAATTGGCATTGGAAATATCTGATCTAAAATGTTATTTAGTGCACAAAAATGTATCTTGAAGGATTTACTTTTAAATTGCTTGTTGTTAGAATGGGGGGGTATTAGAAAAACCACTACTTGCTCTTGAAGATGCTCAGTTTTTACCTCTTTTAAGTCATAGTTATAACTCACAATTTTGTGAGATTTAATTACCTTAAGACATACTTTTACCTAAATTGAGGTAAAAGTTGCATCTATTTAGTCAATTACCCAATGTTCAAAAGAGCTTTTCTTCAGTAGTATTTTCAGCAGCAAAATTCTGCTCTGTGATTGTATTTGGTTCTTCTATTTTCCCAGGCAGACTGGTTACAGTTCTTTTTTTGAAAGTTACCTTGTATTTATCTTTGGAATTTGAAAGGCACAACTCAGGCTTTAATTCTCCTCAAGCAGTAACTGTTCTCCCCTTGGCTTATAATGCAAAAACAGAAGAGAAAGGACCATAGAGGTTTGCTGTAATTTCATTCTCTCAAGCATGTTGGGAGCTTTTGTATGTTTTGGTGTAGGTGTGGTATAAGAAATTAAAACACAGTCCATTTAATACTGTTATCTCTGACCATTTGTATCTTCTTGCCTGCATGTTTCCCAAACTGTTTGATACTTGTTTAAGTACATTGTTGTCATTTCTTCCAGTTAGGGATTTTAAAAAGCAGAAGAAAGCTACAGATGTGCCTACAGGTTTGTGTACAAGCTGTTATTAACTGTGCTCTTGTTCCAAAGTTAATGTGCTGGAGCAAGATCCTTCTTGCTTAGCACTCTGGCACATTTTGCATGTGTGGTAGCCCAGTGTGCTTTATGGAACAGAAGAATCATTTGGCTTGTTTTTGGTGATGAACAAGTGTGTGTTGGTTTAAAAGAATGGTTTGTTTTTGTTTGATTCAGTCTACATCAGTATTGCCTGTAAATATCAGATCACTGAATCCCAGTATGTTGAGGTTGAAAAGAGACCAGTGCTCTGCTCAAGCATGGGCACGTATGGTCAGCTGCATAGCATGGATGACTGGGTAGCTACATCCTGAACTACCTGAAGTTTCCTCTGTGGGAAAGCTTCTTCTTCTGAAGGTTATGTTTGCTGCTTGTACTGACAGCCTAGAGGATTTGAGCTCTACCTTTAAAATAACTACTTATGGTAGAGAATTAGTGAGAGTGAAAAAAATATTACTTTTGAATCTGAACATAGCAAACAAGTGTATTTAAAATGGTGTGATTAAAACTGTTTTATTTCCTGTAATGTTAACCTCAAAAGAATGTATTTAAGTGCAACATCAGATGTGGGTGTATAGCTGAAGTTGCACTGATTCATAGGTATTAGCAGCAATATATTTTCTTTTGTACACTATTGATTTTGGTGTCTACTGATTTGATTAAAGGTTTGGGTTCTTTTGTCTAATGTTGCTGTTCTGGTACTTGAAAGAACGTTGAGGTATTAAATGTGTAAAGCAGATACTGGAGGTGAATTTTTTTTATGTGATTCAGATATTTTAGTGGCTTAGAAGGACCAACTAATTTTAAAATAATTTGGACAGCCAGCAAGTAAATTCATCTGCTCACTGTGGAAAGGTAGGGAGGGTTGTGTTTTAGACAGGCAACTTCTGCTGAGCTTCTTTTTCTGTGTAGTGATCACAGCTCCCAGTTCTGCCCTTACTGAAATAAATACAAGATTTTGGACTTCAAGATGGAAGAACAAAAATATTTAAACTAATATAATGGCATGTATCTTTAATCTGTTGTATTTACCTAGAAAGACATGTGTCTATTATGGGGGCAGGAGAGCTGTTCTGTTTTCATATTGGTTGATGTGTGACTCTGTTCTTTCTTTCAGAGGTGCAGAAACCAAAGTTATTGTTGGCTTAGCATGGTTTTCCCATTCTTAGCTGTTCTATGAAGCACAGTAAAAATGACATAATGCTTCAATCTGTTTCAAGCCAAATGATAAATGTGGAAATAGTGCCTCGATGCACAGTAAGAATGAAATCTTTGTGCATTGAACAGTAATGTAAACACAACAGAGGAAAAAGTATCAAAAATGGTGCAACTTGTGTAAAGCAACGTGCTTGTGTTTAATTCTCATATTTATTTCAAGAATTTTGAACAAAAAGTCAAATTTCTCGAATAGTGTTTCAGGTATTGCATTCCAATAGTAATTATAATACTGAAATTGCTTGTTTCTGCATACGCATCTACCTTTGAAATACTGCAGGGCTTTTAGAGCCTGTAGTCTGTTGTAAGGGATTAGAATATTGTTTTGAGCTTCATGCTGCCTGTGAATGAAAGAAGCATCTCTGTCCTATTCTCCGGGATAGTGACTGAAGTAGTGAAAAGAACAGATCTGAGGACATATCATGTAGAGCCTTGGCAATGAATTATTAACAGCTGTGCTCTGGGTATTTTTTTCCAACAAGCTCTGTATGTTAGAAGAACAATCAGCAGCTAATAAGGCAGAGTGAAGTTAAGACATGGGCAGATATATCCAGACATGCTATTTATAGTGTAGCCCTTGGCACTTTTCCTTGCAGAGCCCTATTCTGCTGATCTTTCTGAGGATTGCCGTTTAAGTGTTGTATTGACGTAACCTTTGCATCTTTCTTCTTCAGCTATTAAGCAGGGCTGGAAATATATCTCCTATGTGTGATAGCATGAGTCCTGAGTAGATTTGCCAACAGTTAAGTTCCTGCCCTTGTGGGAGCTGTATAAGCTGTCTTTCTGCAACAAACTAGTTGAAAGTATATGCAGAAGAACAGTTCTCTATAATTTCTTAGTGAAGGACGCCTCGTGCATTTTCTGCTGTGTTCTTACTGAGATATTTATTGGTGCCTGCCACTCTTCTCACAGCAAGGCTCCTTTTCTCCACCTACAAATCTGCTGTGCAGACAGGAGAGATCTTCCTTTCAAGTAATGGGTTCTTGGCAAGTAAGACGTTATACAACCAACCTTGACTGCTGGGAGTGATCATTGTTAAATAGTGCTGGAGTGAGTGTGTTGTGAGAATGTGTGAAGAAAATGAAAAATAAGGCTACGCAGCAATTTGACTATAGTTGGTCTCAGTAAATATTTGTGAAAGCACAGTTAGAGGAAATTATACTTCTCCTTTTATA